TCCTCACCACATCACTGTAAATATAGAGAATAGTATGCCTTGTTGCCTCACCTGAAAAACTGGATGACAGTGGATAACATATTTTTATGAGCGATACCGAAGGCTTCATGATGTTTTAGTTGCTGCTCTGTTCAAACTATTATTTACTTTGACTGGTCTCGTGACTCTTCCTCAACAATATCACTCTGAAATTACAAAATTACTGAATAAATAATATGACTTAAAACGCATATAATTGATATAACGTTAAACAGAAAACAAACCTTACCTGCTCTTTACTGACAGCTGCTCAAACAAAGCTTCTCTTTTCTGCAGCTCCTCACTGCTCACATCTCTCATTTCTTTCTCATAAAGAGTTGTGAGAGGATCCAAGCTCTCTCTTTTTGGCACATATGACTCTGAATGCTCCCTCACAAGAGACAGGACTACTTGTTTCATAAACTCCACAGCAGAGACAGGACTACTGGTTTCATTAACTCCACAGCAGAGACAGGACTACTGGTTTCATTAACTCCACAGCAGAGACAGGACTACTTGTTTCATAAACTCCACAGCAGAGACAGGACTACTGGTTTCATTAACTCCACAGCAGAGACAGGACTACTGGTTTCATTAACTCCACAGCAGAGACAGGACTACTGGTTTCATAAACTCCACAGCAGAGACAGGACTACTGGTTTCATAAACTCCACAGCAGAGACAGGACTACTTGTTTCATAAACTCCACAGCAGAGACAGGACTACTTGTTTCATAAACTCCACAGCAGAGACAGGACTACTTGTTTCATAAACTCCACAGCAGAGACAGGACTACTTGTTTCATAAACTCCACAGCAGAGACAGGACTACTGGTTTCATTAACTCCACAGCAGAGACAGGACTACTTGTTTCATAAACTCCACAGCAGAGACAGGACTACTGGTTTCATTAACTCCACAGCAGAACGTCGGCCACAAATCCAGATTGAGTGCATTTATATTCCTCCAGGCTTTTGTTAGTCTTCAGTAGGGTTGGGCACCGAGAACCGGTTCCTAAAGTGCGGTTCCGGAACCGTTAAGAAGACGTTTGTATTTTGAGTCTTTTTTCGATTCCTAAATGCCGGATGCGGCCCGCACAGCGGCGTCGGAAGCATTTGGAAGGTGGGGGGGGGACACGTTTCAAAAATGCTTAGCAGCTGTCCACCCAGCGTAATAAAGCCAGGGCTTTAGTTTTCCCCAAACTCACGCTACATCAGTTTCATCACTCGCTTTACAAACACATCCAAAACTGATGTTCCTTACCTTAAAGTTACTGGTCAGGCCCTTTGTAATGATGAAGAAGGGAAACACGCTGTCCACCTGCCGAGGACCGCAAAAAGTCCTGCTCCTCCTCCAAAACTCCGAAAACACGATGCACAGGTCCTTGTGCTTTGGTCAAATCTGTCCGTCCAACGATAATCCTCCAGTATTCTCACTTTAGCCGTTTTTCAGCGGTTTACAGAGACGTGTTTACATTTCAGCCGCTCTGAGATGATGGTGGGCGGTGCCACATGAACACTGTGTGTGTGTGTGTGTGTGTGTGTGTGTGTGTGTGTGTGTGTGTGTGTGTGTGTGTGTGTGTGTGTGTGTGTGTGTGTGTGTGTGTGTGTGTGTGTGTGTGTGTGTGTGTGTGTGTGTGTGTGTGTGTGTGTGTGTGTGTGTGTGTGTGTGTGCGTTCGTTCGTGTTCCTTGTTTTTTAATTTAATTTGTTTTTATGTAAAGCACTTTCTGTTGCCTTTTGGCAGGAAAAGTACTAATGAAATAAAATTTGATAAAAAATTATCTTTTTTTTTTCTCTCCTGCACCTCAAAGAATCGGAATCGAGAATCGTTTAGAACAGGAATCGATAGTGAGAATCGGAACCGGAATCGGAAAATTGCAAACGATGGCCAACGCTAGTCTTCAGCGAGAGTCCGGTGTAGTCAGAAGGAAAGTAGAGAAGGTAGTTGTTCATGTAATATCATCTGTGACATCATCAGCTTACTTCCACCTAAGAAACATTGCTAAAATTAAAAACATTGTGTCTAAAGCAGACTTGGAGATTCTTATCCACGCATTTGTCTCCAGTCGATTGGACTACTGCAATGGCTTGTTCACAGGTCTCTCTAAACAAGCGGTAAAACAGCTGCAGTACATCCAAAATGCTGCAGCTCGAGTCCTGACTAGAACCAGGAAGTACGACCACATTAGTCCGGTCCTCAGGTCTCTGCACTGGCTTCCTGTGGCTCAGAGAATAGATTTTAAAGTAGCTTTACTTGTGTACAAGTCTCTCCATGGCCTCGCACCAGGGTACATCCGCGACATGTTGGTGCCATATGAACCAACTCGGGCTCTGAGGAGCACAGGGACTGGACTTCTGTTAGTGCCAAGAGTCGGAACTAGACATGGGGAGGCTGCGTTTCAGATTCATGCAGCTAGAGTCTGGAACCGTCTTCCTGAGAGTGTGAGACAGGCGTCTACTCTAGCAGTTTTTAAAACTGAACTGAAAACAGTTCTTTTTAGCTGTGCATACAAGTGAATGATTTTATATTTGTTTTTATCTTTAATCTTTTTAATGCGCTATGACTATTTATGATTATTTATGATTGTAATCCCTTGTGTGATTTTAATGTTTTACGGTTTTTAACTACTTGTGTGATTTTATATATCTTGTGCTCTTAATCTGTCTTTTATGTTTACTTAAATTCTAATGTTTGATGATTTATGCATGATGTTATATGGGTTGTGAGGCGCTTTGCGTTGCCTTGTGTAGGAAAGGCGCTCTACAAATAAACGTTGATTGATTGATTGATTGATGTCAGGATGTTGTATATCAGGGAGTCCTACGGTCTAAGTCCTACAGGTTTAAAAAACACTCCGGGAGCTAAATATGGATCACTAATTTACAGTCTATTAAGTTTAGCGATGTGTCGCTGTTTATCGCTTTGTGAAAGTTGTTTGCTGCTGTCCTTTGTTATTGTAGTAACGGCGCTCGCCGCCTGTGGCTTCCTGCCAAAATGGCGCCACAAACAAACTGGGTCACGTGACGTCCGGAGCTCTATTGGCCTGGTCACCCCATGCTTTGCTAGGATTTACAGACAGATATGTTTTGATTAGGTTTGTCGTTTACAATCACATGATTTCTGTCGAGAGCGTTTGGAGCTTGGACAGAAACGGTGGCGACAGACGCTAGAGTCAGCGATTTCATTCAGCTGCAAACTCTAAAACAGGTGCAAGAGTTGGTCATCTTTCCCAGACCACAGGAGAAGCAGGTTTGGGAGGTTCAGCCCTAAATACAAGCTCCGTTGGCAAAGATGGGTCAGAAAGATCCGTGATGGCGCAGAATGATTCCACAGACAGCGGGGATTAGGCGTGGCATGGCCTGGCATGGCCTGGCATGGTCCGGCATGGTCCGGCATGGCCTGGCATGGTCAGCAAGAGATGTGCAGACGTCATTTTGATTCTCAGGCTCTGTCTACATGGATACCATTTCACTAAATACGTTTGCTATAATTTGAAAATAAATTATGTAAATTGATTTGAAGTGATTTTCTGTATTTTTTTTGTTTTTGTTTTGTTTTGTCTCTCACAGTTGAGGAACCGTGTCTCATCTTTCTAAGTGGGGGACTTGCAGAATTGGTTGCTGACTAAATACTTGTTTCCACACTTTGGTTGTAATGCAGCGCTGGGTTGGTAATTCATTGTATTGTTTATTTACTCATTTCAGAAAGTCAAAAGTCAGATTTTAATCAATTCTAAAAATACATTTTAATCACATATTAGATCCTCAAATGTTTTTTTTTCTATATTTGGTCTTTCAGAAATGAGGCTTATTGTCCAAAAAAGATAACTTAGTAATCACTGTGGGAGTGAGAATCATGAGAATATCCGTTGGCCTTGTGCCGATGGAATGGAACTCGAATTTTTGACAACCCCCAAAGCTGAACACAAACATTACAGACTTCTTGGCAGTTGATGTATTAATACTAGACACACATGAATTAATAATAAGAATTTTCCGGAATAAGGTTGAATCTGGTGAACTGAAAAAGATGACTTATTCATTCGTAAATTAATTATGTTTTGATATTAGGCCGATGGGCATTGTGATTTTCTACGTCTGTCCCTTTGAGATTCTCTTTGGGAAGTGAGTCTTCTGTATTACTGTGCAGTGTTTCCTTAGACTTCTATGTGCTGTTTGAAGCATAATGATCTCTGTATGGTGCTGTGATGGGAGACCTCTGAAGCTCAGCAGGGCAGAACCTGGTTAGTGTCGTGATGGGAGACCTCTGGGAACAGCAGGTGCCACAGTGGGGCGGCTGTGGCTGTAAAGTGCCAAACTGCCGTTGTGTCCTTAGGCAAGACACTTCCCCCACATTAGAATGAGTCTGGTGTGTGTGTGAATGGTTGGTGGTGGTGGGAGGGGCTGATGGCTCAGACTGGTTGCCTCGCTTCTGTCAGTGTGCCCCAGGGCCACTGTGGCTACAGTAGTAGTTTGGAGTGAATGATTAACGACATGTGAAGCGTCTTTGAGTGTCCTGAAAAGTGCTGTATAAAACTGATGCATTATTATTGTCATTATTATTTATTAACGTGTCAGGACATTAGTCATCCTGCTCCCAATGGACCACTGTTGTTGAGAGGCAGGAGTGCTAACCACTCAGCCACTCTGTTATAACAAGATGAAAGATGACATTTTACATAATATGTCCGCTTTAACAAATGTGAGGTGTACAAACCTTCTTAAAGAACATTTAAACTAGTATAGTACAGTATGAATTACACATTTATTTTATCATGTATGTCCACAATTGATTAAAATCAGTTTTTCAGAGCTAACTCCTCCCTGAATGCTCAAACCAACAACTGTTAGGAACACATTATACTGTATAGTTCATAATCGTAGTTTGTCGACCATTATGTCTGCTGTTGATTTGCCAATAGCAATTTAGAAAATCAAGAAATTAAAACCGTAAATTGCCAAAAAGACAAACAGATTCACCAATGTTCACTGGAGTAAGCAAAGGGATCTGCTCTTCCTCCTTACACTGTCAATTGATAGATTTGTTTGGCATGACTTTGGTGGACCAATAATTTATTTAATTGACTACAGCCCATAGACTCTAGAAGGTACTTTGCCTAATGTGGATGAAGCCAACTCAAACAGGCTCTAAAAACGGGAATCTGAAGCCAAATGACTGAGGCAGCAACAGCCTAGCAACAGCCTAGCAACCACAGAGCCAATCAGGAGTGAGCTGTCCCCCAACAATGATCAAAGACATTATAAAACCAAAGAACACAAGCATCTTAAAGAATGCAAAACCACAAGTCTTTTAATGATGAGTGTGACGCAAACAATTATTGAGGGAAAGAAGGTTAATTTTCAACGTAAGTGAACGGAAGCTGAAGAGAGATGAGTTTTATTGAGCTAGCTGGTTAGCATTGTCCAGCTATATACAGTCTATACCACAGCCCTAAATGCTTGTGATTCATGTGTCTTCATCTTTAATCCTTGTCCCTGCCACTTCCTGACCTCACACAGGCCTTCTTCAAACTGCTCAGTCCAACATACGACACTTCATCTCTTCTGTATTCTGCAGCGATGTGCCTTTTCGTTAGCACTACCCACTCTGCGTTGGGAGGGTCTGTGCTGTGCAAACTCATCCCGGCGCTGACTGAGGGGTGTTTGTTTTGCAGATTACGCAGGAGCACTACATCCTGGCGTCTCAGTCCGTGCACCTGCCGCGGCCGACTCAGGGCAGCCCAGGGAGCGCGGCGTACGGCTGGAGGAAGAGGGGGCTTTACTTCCTGCTGCTGCTGCTCCTCGTCACCATGATCGTCAATCTGGCTCTCACCGTGTGGATCATCAAAGTCATGAACTTCTCCACGGTGCGTGCAAAGAAAGGCATTATTATTCAAGTAAATGTTATGTTGATTTTTATTTTTATTTATTTTTAGGCATGACTTATTCTAGTTTTACTTTTATAACTTTTACTTTTATAACAGTGAGATCCAAAGCAATTCCCTAGTTTGTGACTTCCTGTTGCTCACAATGGCTATAGGTTGTGTTCACAGAACCCCTATTCTTGGGTTCCATATGACGTCAGGGCGGTGAATAACAAACGTAGGACAGGACATGACGTATCCTGGCGGTGCAGTCTGGGTTTATACATGGAGATATAGTAGAAGAAGAAGCATCTTTTTGTGCGGTGTACGCTTGTAGCAACCGCACAAATAGAGAAAGACCAGAGTTTGTTCATGTTCCAACTGTGGTCTCATATAAAGGAGGACACTTTGAATAAATCACTGGAATGAGGCGGAGGTGGATCAAAGCTTTTCCAGATAAGCGCCCCCTGCAGGCCACCCCAATGAAACACTGCAATTTATTCTGTTTTTCTTTCCAAAAATGCCCGAAATCAAGACTCTTTTGAGAAATATTTGTTAGTTCTCCCTTAGAATTGAGTGTCCCTGATTAAGACTGTTCCAACAACCGTACACTGCACAGGACGAGAGCCTTTGACTCCAAAACAGACTCTACATGGTTTTACATGGGAGCAACACTGAGTTGTCCGACCTCTGCTCATGCGCCCCCTACTGGCCAGTTTAATGAAACCCAAGAATAGTAACAATAGTTGTAGAGGGCAGTTGAATAATCTGTCGAAAGTCAGATGTATAGTCTTAGTTCAGGACTAATCTTTCTGTAATTCCCGGGCCAATCCACGAGAAACAAAAACTGGCACAAAATTCCACACCTATAGTCAAGACTTAAGATAAGCTTTATTGATCTCACAAAGGAGAAATGTACATGTCACATTGGCACGGATAGAAACACTCAAGACTGTGCAAAAAGAAAGAAATGTGCAGGATATATTTTGTACAATAAAAAGTGTCAAGAGCGGCAATCAGAAACAGTGTCAATAGTCGTGCAGGTTTTGCAGTCTTAAAACAGTCTTAAAACAGTGACTTAAAGTATCAACTGTGGTCTCATGATTTTCTCAAGAAGATATCGAGAAGGATTTTTCAAGCAATATTCAAAAAAACCTGCATGGTAGAAAGGACTTTCAGACCTAAGAACATAGTTTGTGAATCTCATCACTATCAGATAATGATCAGGAAATCGTTTGGACATTGTATATTTTTATTTTTATATTTTTTCCCCCAGAGCTGTATTAGAACCTGCTCCAGCTAAATATAACTCTACAACATTACCACAACCAGGACAAAAGTGATAACTTTTTGATGAATTGCAAAATCATTAAAGTAAACATATTATTTCATACTCAACATGAAAAATGGACTTTTCCCGGCTTTAGACCATGTTCCACACTGATACTGAGTTTAGACCATGTTCCACACTGAGACTGAGCTTAGACCATGTTCCACACTGAGACTGAGCTTAGACCATGTTCCACACTGAGACTGAGCTTAGACCATGTTCCACACTGAGACTGAGCTTAGACCATGTTCCACACTGATACTGAGTTTAGACCATGTTCCACACTGAGACTGAGTTTAGACCATGTTCCACACTGAGACTGAGCTTAGACCATGTTCCACACTGACTGAGCTTAGACCATGTTCCACACTGATACTGAGTTAGACGACTGTAGACCATGTTCCACACTAGAGCTGACCATGTCACACTGAGTACTGACTTAGCCATGTTCCACACTGAGACTGAGCTTAGACCATGTTCCACACTGATACTGAGTTTAGACCATGTTCCACACTGAGACTGAGTTTAGACCATGTTCCACACTGAGACTGAGCTTAGACCATGTTCCACACTGAGACTGAGCTTAGACCATGTTCCACACTGATACTGAGCTTAGACCATGTTCCACACTGATACTGAGCTTAGACCATGTTCCACACTGATACTGAGCTTAGACCATGTTCCACACTGAGACTGAGCTTAGACCATGTTCCACACTGAGACTGAGCTTAGACCATGTTCCACACTGATACTGAGCTTAGACCATGTTCCACACTGATACTGAGCTTAGACCATGTTCCACACTGAGACTGAGCTTAGACCATGTTCCACACTGAGACTGAGCTTAGACCATGTTCCACACTGAGACTGAGCTTAGACCATGTTCCACACATCCACACTGAGACTGAGTTAGACCATGTTCCACACTGAACTGAGTTAGACCATGTTCCACACTGAGACTGAGTTAGACCATGTTCCACACTGAACTGAGTTTAGACCATGTTCCACACTGAACTGAGTTAGACATGTTCCACACTGAACTGAGTTAGACCATGTTCCACAGAGGACGACTTAGACCATGTTCACACACTGAGACTGACTTAGACCATGTTCCACACTGAGACTGAGTTAGACCATGTTCCACACACGACTGAGCTAGACCATGTTCCACACTGACTGACTTGAGCAGTTCCAGAGACATAGACCATGTTCCACACTGAGACTGAGCTTAGACCATGTTCCACACTGAGACTGAGCTTAGACCATGTTCCACACTGAGACTGAGAGCTTAGACTGAACTGAGTTAGACCATGTTCCACACTGATACTGAGCTTAGACCATGTTCCACACTGAGACTGAGCTTAGACCATGTTCCACACTGAGACTGAGCTTAGACCATGTTCCACACTGATACTGAGTTTAGACCATGTTCCACACTGAGACTGAGCTTAGACCATGTTCCACACTGATACTGAGTTTAGACCATGTTCCACACTGAGACTGAGTTTAGACCATGTTCCACACTGAGACTGAGTTTAGACCATGTTCCACACTGATACTGAGTTTAGACCATGTTCCACACTGAGACTGAGTTTAGACCATGTTCCACACTGAGACTGAGTTTAGACCATGTTCCACACTGAGACTGAGCTTAGACCATGTTCCACACTGAGACTGAGTTTAGACCATGTTCCACACTGAGACTGAGCTTAGACCATGTTCCACACTGAGACTGAGCTTAGACCATGTTCCACACTGAGACTGAGTTTAGACCATGTTCCACACTGAGACTGAGTTTAGACCATGACACTGAACTGAGTTAGACCATGTTCCACACTGATACTGAGTTTAGACCATGTTCCACACTGAACTGAGTTTAGACCATGTTCCACACTGAGACTGAGTTTAGACCATGTTCCACACTGAGACTGAGCTTAGACCATGTTCCACACTGAGACTGAGTTTAGACCATGTTCCACACTGATACTGAGTTTAGACCATGTTCCACACTGAGACTGAGTTTAGACCATGTTCCACACTGATACTGAGTTTAGACCATGTTCCACACTGAGACTGAGTTTAGACCATGTTCCACACTGAGACTGAGTTTAGACCATGTTCCACACACTGAGACTGAGTTTAGACCATGTTCCACACTGAGACTGAGTTTAGACCATGTTCCACACTGAACTGAGTTAACCATGTTCCACACTGATACTGAGTTTAGACCATGTTCCACACTGAGACTGAGCTTAGACCATGTTCCACACTGAGACTGAGTTTAGACCATGTTCCACACTGAGACTGAGTTTAGACCATGTTCCACACTGAGACTGAGTTTAGACCATGTTCCACACTGATACTGAGTTTAGACCATGTTCCACACTGATACTGAGTTTAGACCATGTTCCACACTGATACTGAGCTTAGACCATGTTCCACACTGAGACTGAGTTTAGACCATGTTCCACACTGAGACTGAGCTTAGACCATGTTCCACACTGATACTGAGTTTAGACCATGTTCCACACTGATACTGAGTTTAGACCATGTTCCACACTGAGACTGAGTTTAGACCATGTTCCACACTGATACTGAGCTTAGACCATGTTCCACACTGAGACTGAGTTTAGACCATGTTCCACACTGAGACTGAGTTTAGACCATGTTCCACACTGATACTGAGCTTAGACCATGTTCCACACTGAGACTGAGCTTAGACCATGTTCCACACTGAGACTGAGTTTAGACCATGTTCCACACTGATACTGAGTTTAGACCATGTTCCACACTGAGACTGAGTTTAGACCATGTTCCACACTGATACTGAGTTTAGACCATGTTCCACACTGAGACTGAGTTTAGACCATGTTCCACACTGATACTGAGTTTAGACCATGTTCCACACTGAGACTGAGCTTAGACCATGTTCCACACTGATACTGAGTTTAGACCATGTTCCACACTGAGACTGAGTTTAGACCATGTTCCACACTGAGACTGAGTTTAGACCATGTTCCACACTGATACTGAGTTTAGACCATGTTCCACACTGAGACTGAGCTTAGACCATGTTCCACACTGAGACTGAGTTTAGACCATGTTCCACACTGAGACTGAGTTTAGACCATGTTCCACACTGATACTGAGTTTAGACCATGTTCCACACTGAGACTGAGTTTAGACCATGTTCCACACTGAGACTGAGCTTAGACCATGTTCCACACTGAGACTGAGTTTAGACCATGTTCCACACTGATACTGAGTTTAGACCATGTTCCACACTGATACTGAGTTTAGACCATGTTCCACACTGATACTGAGTTTAGACCATGTTCCACACTGATACTGAGTTTAGACCATGTTCCACACTGAGACTGAGTTTAGACCATGTTCCACACTGAGACTGAGTTTAGACCATGTTCCACACTGATACTGAGCTTAGACCATGTTCCACACTGATACTGAGCTTAGACCATGTTCCACACTGAGACTGAGTTTAGACCATGTTCCACACTGATACTGAGTTTAGACCATGTTCCACACTGATACTGAGTTTAGACCATGTTCCACACTGAGACTGAGCTTAGACCATGTTCCACACTGATACTGAGCTTAGACCATGTTCCACACTGATACTGAGCTTAGACCATGTTCCACACTGATACTGAGC